GTTAAGGGAACACGCAGAGGAAGTAGAGGCGGAACAGCGTAGGCTGCGAGAAGAGATGACTCAAGTCGTAGAACGCTCCGGCTCAAAAAGCTCTTCCGTTGGATGCTCCTCGCGGGTTTGATCACGACGCCGATGGAACGCCTCAACTGCTCACCTCAGGTGGTTTATCTGGAGGGTCCCTTCCTGGAACGCGCACGACAAGGAGACAGGAGCATCACGACCCATCTTGACACATCTTGACCTCTCACCTCAGGTCGTTTATCTGGAGGGTCCCTTCCTGGAACGCGCACGACAAGGAGAGAGGAGCATCACGACACATCTCGACGCATCCTGCCCACCCGATTTTAGACCCGAATTTCGAAAGGGGGTTTAGTTGCAAAATCGGGTCTAAAATCGGGTGGGCAGGCAAAATCGGGTGGGGTGACCCGATTTTAGACCCGATTTTAGACCCGATTTTGGCGCAACTAAAACCCACTAATGTCTAAATAAAATAGTTCAAGATGCGTCAAGATGTGTCGTGATGCTCCTCTCTCCTTGTCGTGCGCGTTCCAGGAAGGGACCCTCCAGATAAACCACCTGAGGTGAGCAGTTGAGGCGTTCCATCGGCGTCGTGATCAAACCCGCGAGGAGCATCCAACGGAAGAGCTTTTTGAGCCGGAGCGTTCTACGACTTGAGTCATCTCTTCTCGCAGCCTACGCTGTTCCGCCTCTACTTCCTCTGCGTGTTCCCTTAACCAACTCGCGTACCCTTGCGCGGCCGTGACAAACGTGTTTGGATCAAGCTGACGAGTTTTTTCATGAGCCGCGCGCTGTCGAGTCAATTCTCCTTGCAGCTTTCTTTCTTTCAGCTTTTCTTTTCTTCGTTCCAATGTAAACAAAAATTTCGCGTGCTCCCGCTGGGCGAGGATGACGTCTTCCGGATGGCACTTTTCGTACTCGAGGAAGAAGTCCTTGTATAACAAAGTCACGCCAACCTCGAAGGCGAGCTTGTGGCATGCATCAGGAAACGCGCGTCTCAGCACGAATCTTTCGAAAAAATCGGCCAACTCCAAGCTCTTCAGCGCTGAGAAACCCCCGCGCATCACGACGAAGGCGTACGCGGTGTACAACGGATATTTTTCGACGTTTGCCCATCTTACCGCAGAGTTCAGTTCTCGTAAGACCTCCGCCGGATCTTTACGGAGCCCGTGGATCACGAAGTGCGCCCACTTGCGCTCGAAGTGCTCCTTGCCACCCGCGGGCGCGCGAGTCCTCTTTCCAAACATTTTATCTTCTTTTTGACCCCTCGACCAACACGTCGCGTGCTCCCGCTGGGCGAGGATGACGTCTTCCGGATGGCACTTTTCGTACTCGAGGAAGAAGTCCTTGTATAACAAAGTCACGCCAACCTCGAAGGCGAGCTTGTGGCTTGCATCAGGAAACGCGCGTCTCAGCACGAACCTTTCGAAAAAATCGGCCAACTCCAAGCTCTTCAGCGCTGAGAAACCCCCGCGCATCGCGACGAAGGCGTACGTGGTGTACAACGGATATTTTGCGACGTTTGCCCATCTTACCGCGGCGTTCAGTTCTCGTAAGACCTCCGCCGGATCTTTACGGAGCCCGTGGATCACGAAGTGCGCCCATTCGCGCTCGAATTGTTCCTTGCCACCCGCGGGCGCGCGAGTCCTCTTTCCAAACATTGTATTAAAGGACACGAGCCGGGGAAACGCGAATGCACGCGATAATATTAAGTTGCCTTTATACGTAGCCCTGCGTACTAGCTCGCTCGCTCGTTAAATCGTTCGCGCGCGTCGTTCGCGCGCTCGCTAGAGCTGTCCTTTTTATGGTACCTTACTTAGATACGAAGGTACGAAAGTACGAAAGTACGAAAGTACTTTCGTAGCGCGTACGTAGCTACGTACGTAGGTACGTGTACGTACTGTACAACGTACACGTAGGGCTATTATTTTGACCTTCGAAGATAAATACCTTCGAAGGTAAATGGCTGGCTTAATAATAAACTGTACGTGTACAGCTGTACACGTACTGTATCTATGTACACTACTTCCGGAATTAATAACGGCAGGTAAAAATTTATAAAGAAGAGAAACGAAAAATCAGCCTGTCCGAAGGAGGTAAGAGTAGCCAGCAGCGAGACCTTAAATGCGTGCACCTCGCTGGAATATGAAACACTTGTCAAACGGCAACCGCCGCCCACGCTTTGCCCTTTCGACCTTCTCACACGTGCATTTGGTGTCCGTGTTCTTGTACTTTTCGTCGGGATTCATGGGTGGATGGTACGCGCAGCTGAATAGGAAACCCGTCTACTTCAGTCTTCAAGTCTCGAGCGGCGAACGTCATGAACAAAACAGCTCGACGATGGCGAGGATCTACTCGGAATACTTTTCCGAAGAGAGGCTGTTGGGCCTTGCCAACCAGCATCGCGAACGCTTCCGAAACGCAGACCCGTTTCCACACGTGTACGTCGACGACTTTCTCGAGCCGAATTTCGTCAGAGCCGTCGACGACGAGTTCGCGTCTACGGAATTTGGCGAGTTGTGCAAGTCTCAGTCGAAGACGAGTGGCAAGAATCAGAAGAAGAAGGTGCACTGTTTTCACAAAGCAGGCGACGAGAACGAAGGAAAAAAAACTGCGGTTCTCGACGAAAGCGTGATGGGCCCGAACACTCGTGCGGTGTTCGGTTTGCTGAAAACCTCCCTCTTCGTCGAATTTCTTGAGCGTCTCACGGGAATCGACGACATCATACCAGACCCGCACTACAGGGGAAGTGGCTTGCATCAGACCGAGCCCGGTGGATTCTTGAGGGTACACGCAGACTTTAACAGATACGAGCGCTTCGGTCTGGACCGACGCGTGAACGTGTTTCTCTTCTTGAACGAAGGTTGGGACGCGGGGTGGGGAGGGGCTCTAGAGCTGTGGCCACGCGACATGAGCAGCTGCAAGCAGAAAATTCAGCCCCTGTTCAACCGCTTGGTCATTTTTCGCACGACAGATTTCTCGTATCACGGATACACGGACCCGATCCGATCGCCGTTTCCGCGTCGCAGCGTGTCGATGTACTACTACACGAACGGTCGCCCAGCTGAAGAGAAGATCGACCCGGACAAAGATGCGCACGCGCACAGTACTTTGTGGCAAAAAGTGAGCTGCGCCATGCAGTCCGACGACGCTCTGACGCCGAAGTGCATGACGTCGAGGCGATGATGACGGGTTCGCGATCGAAAACGACGCAAGAATAATGCAGTCGGATAACTAGTCTACAATGTCGTTGTGCTCAAGTCGTTAAATTCCGGCATAGGGTTCACGTGTACGTTACCAGGCCGGGGATTCACGATCCAAACGAACGTCACGCCATGGAGCCGTACTCGCGCCGAGCGACGTCGACGTCTTGCCGGTATCGCAGTTGCGCAAGAACTTCCTCGGTGTACACAGCTACACACCGTTTTTCGAACTCGTCCCGGAGCCGCCCGAGTCGTACCAGCGGAAGTTTGCTTCGACGCACGACCTTGCTTGGAGCAACGGGTCTTGGCTTCGTTACGATCGACCATATCGTCACACCTTTGGGTAACGCGTCGGGGCCAAGGTAAGCCGCGTATTTCTCCGCGTCAAAAAATATCAGGTCCGGACCGACGCACAAAAGTCCGGACCGTAGGTCCGGACGAAGCACCCGTCGATTTTTTTCAACAACGACATAACGACGCGCACCACCTGCCTGTCTCCGCTCTGCTCGCCCTCATGGACATCGTCTCGCGCGGGGTCGGCGCGGCCGGTGAAGTCGCCCTCGCTCAAGTGGCGGGGGCGAGGATCGGCGGCCAGTCCGGGACCTCCGACGCCTGGGTGGCGTACAAGCGGAACGTCGCGGGCATCTTCGAGAGATTTCGCGACGAGATCTACCCCAACGTGGGAGTCCTCGTGGGGGCGACGCGCGGGGGGGGGACGCACACGTCGTTGATCTCTGTGGAGGACGCGACGAGTCGGGCGCTCTGGGAGACCTTCGCCACCTGGCTCTTCGAGGGGTACAAGATTCCCTCAGGTAAGAGGGGTGCGGGCGACGGTGTCGCCATCGAGACCGCCCAGAACTACCTGAAGTGCGCGTTTAATCTCGCGCGCGAAGTCCACCCGAGGACTGACTTCTTCAAGTGTCTGGACAAGGAAGAGGACAATCTCCGGAACGAGGACCGCGTGTGGTACTTGAACTTGCGCGAGAACATGTGGAAGCACTTCTTCGCGCGTGCGGTGGAGCAGGGCGACAAGATTGACGAGTCCGCTCCTGAGATTGGCCTCGTGCACGTTCAGGCGATGGTGAGAGCCTACTCGCTTTACGCCACCGCGAACGCCGCGGGCGCCCGCGCGCGCGATGGGCACGCGCGGAAGTTCAGCATCCTCTCCCTGTGGCACGTCGCCGGGCGTAGCGGCGAGATCGGCTTCTTGTCATACAAGAAGCTGGATTGGGACGAAGAGCTCCAGTGTGTCCACGTGGAGGTGGCGCAGATGAAGACAACGAAGACGAAGAGGCTCGTCTTTTCGGCGGGCGCGAACCGGCACATTTGCTGGTTCACCGCGCTGGGCGACCGACTCGCGACCGAGAGCCGCGAGGCGTGGTACGAGGCCAACGAAGAGTACCACTGGTTGTTCCCCGACCTGACCGGTACGACGACCCCCGGGCACCGCATCGGCGAGTACATGAAGGCGCTGCTCCCGCACGGCGTGGCGGGCTCATCTAAGAAGAAGGAGTTCGAGCGTTACGTCGTCGAGTCGCTGCCGGAGAACGTGAGCGCCGCGAGCATCCGCACGGGCGCCGCGAACAAGCTGCACATGCACATGCCGGAGGAATTCGCGTGTACGACGACGGGTCACCATCTGCAGTCGACTGCCCACCAGCAGTACATCAACGCGACGACAGCGAACTGCATGCCGGGTGCTGTTGTCCTGGCGGGCTTCCCGGCGTTCGGGTGGGGACAAAGCGGGGAGTGCGCGAAGCCGCCGTCGCTCGCGGCGCTCGACGACGAGCCACTGGTCCGGGGGTTGACGTTCGACAAGATCATCGACGAGCTGTACCGGGTGAGCTCCTTTAGCCCCGAGGTGCTGCAGGTTGGCGGCAGATTGCGTCAAGCTGTCCGTGCGGCATTCGCAAGCCAGGTGATGTACTACGAGGAGCGCGTCAAGGCGCGCGAGTGTAGCGACGTGTTGAAGGCGATGCGAGAGGTCCTCGTGCGAGTGCATCTTGTCGGACCTGATCCGACGGCGGCACATGGTACCCTCATCCGGTGGGGGGAGCTCCTGCGCGTGCGGTTCGACACGGTGAACATGTCGCTCACCATGCGGGAGACGGCGAGTCAGCAGGAGCAGACGGTGCTCGCCCTCACCAAGCTGCGGAACGAGATAGAGGCGTCTCGGGCGGAGACTGCACGGCTCGTCGCTGAGGTGGCGACGATGAAATCAGGCATGGCGCAGCTGGCAGAGAGCATGGCGTCGGTGGGCGGCGGGTTCAATGAGCTCTCGAAACTGGTGACCTCCCGGGTGACTGGCGTCGCCGCGCGCGCGCGGCCCGAGGCACCGGCGTCTGACGCGGCGGGGGAGGATGGAATGCGCGCGGACGAGAGTGCGGCGGTGCCCGGCGCGGAGATGGTGGTGGCAGCGCCGCAGGTCGGGGTCGTCAGCCCGCGTGGCGCTGGCGCCGGGGCAGCGGCGCAGCCGAACGCAATCGACGTGCTCATGGCACATGCGGATGCCGCGGCGAGCGCCCCCTCGGGCACCGCCGGGATGCAGGCCAGAGAGCTCGTTCAAAACGCGTGGGTAGGGAACGGGAGAGGGCGCCGCGTGGAGCCGACTCTCGGGAAGCAGGCCAAGCATAACGCGTCGCTGGCGCTGGCGGTGTACAACGCCGTGATGACGCCTGGTGAAAAGAAGTTGCTCAACCGCCCCCTGACTGGGCAGCAGCGTCAGGACGTCTTGGCTGAAGGGAGAGCGATCGTGAACGAGGTGGAGGAAAGGGTCGTGGAGATGCTCAAGGAGTGGTACACCGAGCTCGAGAAGCCGCTGCGCGCTTTTCTGTTGCCACCGAAGGATAAGAGAACGAAGAAGATGAAGAGGTCGAACGGCACCAGCGGCCCCGCAGCGGCAGGGAGGCAGCCGCTCATGGTGAACTCCATGGATGTGCTGAAGCGCGACCTGGGAGACAAAATCGCGTCGGGGCCGGCGCAAGCTTGGTGGGCGGCGCGCACGGGGTCGTCGCCCGCCGTGCTGACCGAGGGGGGGGAGCCCGCCGCAGCTCTCCCCGCGCCCGACGAGCGCGAGGTCGAGCAGCCCTCCTCCCCGGCGAGCGCCTGGGTGACCATCACAAGTCCCATCGCATCCTTCTTCGCAAAGCGGGAGTGACGCGACGCCGCGCGCTCGGACGCGCCTGTATCGGATCGCCGAGTGGAGCGTGCCTTCCCGGAATCGCGGCCGACATCCGTCACGCGTGCGTCTAGCGATCCGCGACCTTTAATTTATGACGTTATTACAGTGTGACTTTCGCCGCCCCGAGCGTCGCGGCGCGCGGGGGTGTGCGTGCTCGTGCGTGCTCTTTCGTGACGACTGCCGTTTTTTCTGCGTTTTCTCTACCTCTGAGACCTCGAGTACCGTATGAGATTTCAGTCTGCTTTTTCTTTCGTCTCGTTCGATCTTTTACAGAAATGCCCTATGGGCAATTAGCATCGTGCAAAACTCCGGACCGAGCGCGGTCCGGAGTTTTGTTCTTAGGAATAAAAAAATTAGCAGTAAATTAGCAGTTCCATTTTCATAGTGATAACGTACTGTACGTGTATACGAAGGTACGAAGGTATTTATTATTTAGTACTAGTCGCAGCTTCTCGTAGGTGGACAACTGGACGTGTCCTCCGCCTGCGAGATCACTAATGTGGTCGTTCGAAAGTCGCCTCCCCCGACGAAAATCGCCGTATACTCGAGCGTTTATCGTGCTCGCTATCGCGCTAACCGGTTTCGTGGCTTTATTCGGAGTTGAGAGCCCCGAGCTTGCACCTTTACGTCCTCAGCCCCAGTCGTCTGCAACGAAGCACGCGTGCGTGGGGTTGGCCGAGAGCAGGATGCTATCCTTCACCGAAGCGACGACAGGAGCATGTCGAGACAGCGAAAGGCAGCGGGCGTGTCAGGACGTCCTAGCTCGCGAAGCGTTGCCGACGCTGTTGAACGCCATTCCCGGCGAGGGGTGCGCTCGAGCCTGTCAAATTCACGCCATCATTTCTGAACTTGGCGGGTCGAATGTAAGTGGGGTTTCGTTTACAGCATTCTTGCGCGCGTTCATCGTCACCCAGCCTGAAAGCAGCGTGTTAAACGTATGGGCATCGCCCTGGGATACCTACGAACTTCCAGACGTCGCTGAGGGTTGTGCTGAGGGTGACCAAAACTTCAATCCGAGGCTTCGAGCCGAACAGTGGCGAAGTCGCATTCGCCTTCGTAGGTTGACACGGCGCGATTTCGGCTCGTGGAATCTTTTCAGATTATGGCTGTACAGAGCATTCGGAAACGACTTTAGGGTATATGTCTCTGTCAGGCGTCTGAGCGACATGATTCGTTTCAAACTTCTCGACACACACGGTGGCATTTACATAGACAGCGACATCTTGCTTCTCCGAGACCTCACGTCGCTGTGCAACTCGACGTTTCTGTATCCTTGGGGAAGCCTAGATGCGGACAATAACGCCGTCATCGGTTCTCCGAAGAACGGCCCTTTCGTCGCGGAGTTTATTCGGCAGGCTGGGAACTCGCCGCTCGCGTATCACCCGCTGAAGTGGAGGAAAGTCGCGGGCAAAAATATCGAAGACTGGCCTACCCGAATCCCAGTGATGGTTTTCGACCCTTTGTGGTTGAAGGACAGCGGACTGGATTCGCGCGATCCGGCGAAATACCCATTTGACACGAGAAAGGGTTTCGCTAACAAAAGCATCCAGCCGTTGCATACACGCGAAGACGCATTCCCGGCGTCTCTTGGGTACCACTGGCACGGAGGTTTTGGTTCGATACCGAGCGAACCATCACCAGGCTCGATGTTTGCGCAGCTCCATAACATGGGTTGCACAAAGCCCGCGTGATGACTACAACTGTACGTTTATGAAGATACATTCGCTTCTTACTGCTCAAGCGTGTGTACACCCCTGAGTTGACATCCCACAGACACGTGTTTTTATACATATTAGCTTCGAATGAAGGTAATCCTAGCTACATATATATCTGCTCATCAGTACGTGCTCACATACGCTTTAAAAAATACAAAAATCTGCCGCTTTCCCGTGCTCTCCAAAGATGTCGTACACGTGTTACCGTACTCTCGTGCAAACGAACATAACATCGTCGGCACAAAGTGTGATACCTTTCCCAACTCGCCATCCGATTGTACGCACTGGAACTGGCGCTTGCGATGAACAAGGAGACTAACAGGCATGGACGAGAAGACGCGGAAGTCAACTCCAAGTGTACAGTACATAAAAGTTTATTTATTATCCCACGTCCATAAATAAATGCACGGCACTGTCGACAGGACGTGCAAGAATGTCCGCGGTCTACGCTCGAGTGTCATTGCCGCGACTATCTTATGCGGCGTCGTCTACCTGGCTTTCCCCAATTATCGGAAGAGGGTTTTCTCGCGAGTGTTTGACTCGGCCTCTGAAACTTTGCGTGGAGGCTTTTCCATTTCCCCGGCGGAACCTACGAGCTTCACTCGAAGAAGCGATATTAGCTTAGTCAGTAACGCGTGCGTTGTTGTAGAGCAGGCACGGTACTTGAAAAACGCCGGCGGTGCTCATGTCGGTCACTGGGTCGCGGTGCTCACGCAGCTCATGCCGCACTTCGAAGCAGTTGCACGCAGAAGCAGTAATGCGAAGGGAAGCTCAACGAAAATGCACCTATTTTTTACCGACCAGCATCGCGACGCATGGCAACTGCAGAAAATTGGATCGATACTCAGAAACCACCCGTACTACCAAATAACTGCCAACGCTGCGATGCACGGCTTCAACATCGATGTCATCCTGCGCACGACCGTGTTGGACACGTTATCACGTGGAAAGCGTAAGTGTAGGCAGAGCATAGATGCGGGCAGGTTCCCAGCAGATGACACATGGACGCCGGGCCTGCACCGGTTCGTGCTCGGTGCTTTCGAGTCGCTGGGATGCTCCAATAATGCCAATGTAGCGGATATCTTGATATACAATAGAAAAGGTACGAGAGAAATTACAAACACTCGAGACATTGCGGATTATTTAGAACATAGAAATTACAGTGTGCTGATACAGACCGCAGATGTTTTAACGCCGGCGCAGCAGGTTTGTCTCATCGGCAAGCCGTTTAGGTACATCGTGACCCCTCACGGCGGGCAGATGGCGAGTCTCATGTTTAAAAACGAACGCACGAGTGTGATTGAAGTGATGCCCCGGAGCGGCGTGTTGGAATGTTATCGATACATCACACGGGATTACGCATTGTGGTTCGCACTTCAAGTTGTCAGTCTGTGGCGCTGTGCGGGTTTTTGCATAGACGATGCACGGCGAAACACGTCATTCGATGCTATTTTGAGGCCGAATGATGGAGGTGCTGAGCTCGAACGCGAGATCAGGTCCGAGGTTCTCACGGTTGACTTCATAGGCATGAAAAGCCTGAAAAACCTGTTGGACTTGCGTGCTTGGGTTCAAAATGAAAAAAAAACGAGTACTGTACGCGAGCATATTATCGCTTAGATAGCCCTCTGAACGAGCTCAAGCGAGAGTGCTGCACGATATTTGTGTACACAAACCGGCGGGATGCAGTTGTGGCTACACGATGCCCTTCGACGTTCAGGCTCAAACTTCGCGAGGAGCACTCTTTTCACACGCGGAGAACTATCATCTATACAAATTGCGCGCCCTCCACGTCGTCCCGGACCCCATCACCTAACGCATTGCCGAATCAATTGCAAACGCCGGCAACACGGTAACTACTAGAGACTGGTTTTTCATCACCTCCTCGAGCGATGGCATCAAGCTCGCCGCTGTTGTCGGCATCGGAACTCTGCCTTCTCCGCCTCTGCCTCCATCTTCTGAGTCGGACTCGGGTATTTTCGACTTATCAATAACCTACCCCATGGTCGTTGGTGGGGGCGTTGGCGTAGTCACTGTCGTCACCACCAGGAATTTGATACTGTTGACGGGCGAACATACACGAAAAGATGTAGCTTTTATACCTTCCACATAGACTATATATGGGGACTAAAAAGGACTCGGGACGGCACGAGGGATTCCGTGCGGATTGTCTAAAAACTATTCAGCACCGCCTCGGACAACGCCTTTGGCGAAGTCCAAAAGTCCGGATCTGTGTAGTGCGATTCGCAACTCAGCACGTTCGTACCTTCTCTCGGCACTTTTCGACTCCACAAGTTGTGCTCTCCTCGATACAAGTGTCGTATGCCAAGCAAAGATGCAACTTCGTCGTTCACGTAAGTTCTCCCGAAACGGTCGCTGTGAAGTTTCGGGCACGGACCCATGATCTCGTGAAGCGTTGCGTCTTTCCGCAACCACGGCCACCAGAAGCAAGTGAACGCGCCATGCGGGGTGATGACGTATTTGGAGTTCAATATCGATCTGAACTGCTCCATCGGCGACGGCATCGCGGTCAACACGCGTTCGTCCCATAAGGTGACGTCCAGAAAGCTGGACGCCGACACAAGTTCGCGGTGCACGTCGACGACGTTGACCATTTTTCGCTGTTTTGTGTCGAGCCGGCCGTACAGCAACACAGAGGTGTTCCACCTGTAGTCGTTTTGAAAAGAGCGAGAGACCTCCGCGTGTACGTTCTCACGCGCGCGCGCGAGTACAGACGCAGCGATAGTCGAGGGAAGGGCGTCTAGATGTCTATCGCACGAGGAGACGACGACAAATAGTTCATCAAAACAGCCTTCGGCGTGTTTCTTCTCGTTCAAGCCTTTTGGAAGCACCGCGTTTAATATGATTCTGATCAGGCCGTGGACGGGGTCGTCGTCGTTAAAGTCGTCGCTATGATGCAGATTTACGATCGAATCAAAATAGAAAGTCGCAACGAGGAGCTCGAGCCATGTCGTATCCCACAACGCGTGTGCCGCGTTGAGAGGCTGTTGAGAAGTTGATGATTCCAGTGGAGTGTCATCGATTCCATTCTCGCCGCTTGTCGTTTTGTAATAACGGTACAGCGTTCGTCCGCGAACCGTTGGGAGGTGTCGTCGCAGGGTGGTAAAATTAGCTCGCTCGAGAACCACGAATTCACGGAACGGTCCTCTCCAGTGCAGAAGGTTCGACATCGAGTCGCCGAACGGAGTGTTCGATCCACCCCTCCGGAACACCGCATTTCGCTTCCGTTTCGCATTTTGAGTGACGATACCGTGATTTTGACCTGGAGATAGATAAATGACGTCTTCTTTGACGCACGCGTCTTCCATGTGAGCAACACAACGGCCGAACAAGTCGTCGACCGAGCTCCCTTGAGAGGCTACCGAAGTATTCTTATCAACCAAGGCAAAGCAACAAATGAAAGCCATTGAAACGCCAACGAACGCCGAAGGCCAGCGACTGCGAGCGAAAGGCATTCGACGAATGGACTGCATCACACATGGTCAAAGACGGCCCCCATGTCAGTACGCAACAAGGGTAAAGTAAGAAGAATAATATTCTGCTCAAGTTGGGGAAAAAATAAACGAATGCACAAATAAACGCTACGTGTACACGTACACGTACAGCTGTACACGTACGTGTACAGTACACGTGTACCTTCGTACACGTGTACACGACATGTACACGTACTATGGTGTGAAAAATAAGGCACGCTTTTATAACACGTACTGTATGTATGTAACGCTTTATATTATGATATATTACCTTCGTACGAAGGTAATAATAAGCAAGTTGATATGCAGCAACTTGTGCATCCCTAGCTAGATAGATAGATAGCTAATTATTATTATTAAATATATTGTAACTGATCGATACAAAGTACGAAAGTACTTTCGTACTTTCGTACGAAAGTAGGAAAGTACTACCTTCGTACATAGCTAGCTAGCTAGCTACCTTCGAAGGTACCTTCGTACATACCTTCGTAGTACATATCTACATACTACGAACGAAGGTATGTACGCAGGGGATAACTTTTGATAGTGAATAAATAATGAGTAATAAGAAAATGTTATTTATTTATTTACTCGCCGAAGGCGAAGAATTTTTTTTAGTATTTATTTATTTACCTTTTTTTTTGCCGGTATCCATCAAATACTTATTTATTTACACTTTTTGGATACACGAATTTATTACTCATAAAACACTCACTAAATTTCCGGTGGACTAGCTACACGTACGGTAGCTAGCTAGCTAGCTAGCTACTTTATTTCGTACCTTCGTACTAGCTAGTACACGTGTACGGAAGTACTTTCCGTACAACAGTCAGCAAAAAACCATTTTTTCAAAGCCTAACTCCAGATCCATCTGCGGCATACCCCCAGTTACCCATCCCGCTTTGAAGGGTGTTCGTTAGATTAAACGCCAGCTACATCGCCACCACTTGACGTAGCATCGCCACGCCACGAAAGGCCGTGCGCTCGTCCCGCACCGGAGAGCGTCGCATACGACGAACGGGGATTTTGAAAGTAAAATTATAAACATGCCCTATCCGTGGGAAGTTTCTCCCGGTCGGTCACGACAAGAAGACATCTTCAAGGAATCTGTTGATCCCCATCTTGATCCTGCACCTCGAGAACCTTCCGACGCGCCGGTTACCGCTGTGTCGCCACCGCGGGGCGCCTCTAATCCAGAAGAAGAAGGCGCGCCGCCGAAGGTGAGCCGTTTAAAAATCCCGTTGTTTGTTGACCGTTCATCAGTCTCAACGGTATTCAGTCAAGTTTGAAAACAGCGAAAAAAACGTTTTAATCAAAAAAATCAAGAGAAAAGTGTTCTTCGAGCGTACTAAAGGTTCAGAAAAAATACGAGTATAGTCAGGTAGGGGTAACGACGTACGAAAGTGTCATTTATTGTCAAACAAAAAAATTTACCGTAGATTTCGCGAAAAGTATTCTCTGCAATGGGAATCTTTTTTTCACGCGCTCGCGACAAAATAGAGCGCGAAAACAGCCAATCGCAACAAAAATCAGAATCACGCTAACGAAGACGGAGTCTCACGGGCGAGCGAATGCGAATATGCGTGCAAAAACCAGGCGAATTGCGCGGAAAAACGTCGACAACTGCCATGTGCCGCTGTTCTGAGAAAAACAACATCTCTAACCCACCGGCTCGCTTCACAGCACACCAAAATAACGATTTGACGAGGTGCGTAAAAAAACCGTAGTTTTGTTTGTCATACTATGTAAAGATGAATAAAAACTAAAACAGCTAGAAATCAGCGTATGAGAATCTTTATAAATCGCCGTTGGCGCAGGTTTTCGACACGCAGGTGAAATTCCACGGGTTTAGGTTTAAATATTTATTATACAATCGCATAAACAAACAGCACTCGAAAACAAAAGAGCGCTCGCTCACGCTCATTTGATTCAGGAGAGCACGCTCATCAGTGCACATAAAAAACTGTTCACTAAATTGAAGAAAATACTAATTAAAGCACCAAGTTATCAGAATTGAAAACAAGATCAGTCAAAATGAAAGAAGAGTATTAAGACAAATATCAGTAGAGCATCAAATTTCACACTGCTTCACGTGAAAAAATGTAAAAAGAAGTCGCTTCATGACTAAGAGTTCAGCAGGATATCTTAAACACTCTTTGACGAATTTCAGCAGTAATGATAATTTAAGGATGGTTTTCCGGGCGAAAATAAAGTATCAAGTTCTTTTTGTAAACCGGTAAACACTAGTGAAGCAGATGATCAGGTTGGATCATTCAGTAGAGTATCTATTCAATGCATGTCTTCTACCTGGTCATCAATTTTGACATAGTGAAATCTTCATGACGAAATTTCTCTCGGTCTGTTTCACGCGAGCTTTTGAACATACTTCGAGAGCTCCTATTCTTGCAGATCCTTTACACTCGAGCAATTTATATTTTCATAATTGAAATTGTGAACAAATACATGAAACGCATGAGCGGTATAATTTCAGTATTTATTGCAAACAAACATGCCAAGTATGCTGAAAACGAAATCATTCCATCACTTTGATCACCACAGATATTCGATTGCGCACGGCGTGCTTTACAACTTATTTTCGGATCAAGATATTCATTTAGTTTTTATTGAATGTTGGCATCGGTAGTTTAGTGGTTCTTGCGCGTGCTATCGCACTTCGTACATCCGTAATTTTTGAACATGTTTCTTCCGGGTATTTATAATGTAAGTACATGTAGGTGTACACGTCGTTCGCGGCAAAAAGATGAAACCCTCTGATCTAACTGGGCTTCTTCGCAAGTGACGACGGTCGATACTCGATAGCATCTGGAGCGGTTGTTAACGACGGTCAAATAACGTGCGTGCGTGCTTTCGTACACGCACGGGGACGAAGAAAACTAGCAGTCAAACGAGTCTTGCCGAATTTGTAGATATTGTTTTAAGAGAAGATATCAAACCTCGCAACCTGAATTTTCCCAACATACACTCTCCCGAGCCGTCGTCTTCTCGTTTTTTTACTCGGACGACACCCGCTCTCCCCGAAGTCAGCACCGATTCACGAGAAAACATGAAATCGCGATGTCGTGATCGGTAGGCGC